CTTTGTTTTGAAAGTTTCCGGCTGATTCCCAGGCCTGGAGTAGGCCAAAGAATTTCCCCCTCTCTCTCTTTTTTGAGACAGCATCTTGGTGTGTATTCTAGTCTGACCTTGAACTCACTGTGTAGCACAGGCTGGCCTTGAACTTCTGGTGATCCTCCTGACTCAGCCTCCTGAATGCTGAGATTACAGACATGTGCCACCATGCCTGGCAGGGCTTCTCTCTTAAGGCACAGTGAAAAATATTTTTGACCAGAGCTACAAAGGGATGAATGGGAGGAAAAATAGAATTTGGGCTTTCTTTGTGGTCACTCTCTTTCCAGCTCCAGCTTTCCTCAATGCAGTAGGTCAGCCACAGGAAAGTGCTCTTGAGAAAGTAGACTTATTTTTAGAAGTTTGTGCTCCCCCCTCCCAAATACAGAAAAAAAAAAAACAATCCCAGTGTGTGAGAACCAGCTGCCCAAAGTGGAAGGTGCTGAAAGACCAAAGAAAGAGGCAGACATCCAAGATTACGTAAAGTCCAATTTGTTAGGGCCTTTTGGACAGGAGTGTAACTTGGGCAGCAGCAAGTTAGGGGAGTGCTCACACAATAGGGCAGCAGGAAGAGGCTTATATAACTCAGCTAGACAAAGGTGGACCACTGTCAACTGGAATGTACCTGGCCTTTTTCAAAAACTGTGAATATGTACAGTGTCAGTTAAGAAACAGTCTGGTGGGCAGTGGCTAGCCCACCACACCTGGCTGACTATCTTCGAGACTTTATTTGTGCCATTGGGTTTGGGGTGCATGCTGGGGTCAACTGGTGGGCAAAATGGTAATTGCAATTAAGATGGCTATAGTCATGTCAGACTGGATCCCTACAGTTGTTTGAGCCTACACCAAATTGAGCATAGAATTGAGTTTAGCTGGATTCTTTGCCTGACCTAGATCAGGATGATTTGCTTCCCACTTGTGAGAGAGAGTTCAGCCACGTACTGGCATGTGTGGGGCATCATCTCCGGCTTGGGAGCTTGTTTCCTGGGATGCTCAAGCCAGAATCTTCCTAACATGCTGTGGTGGGGAGCCCTTTCACAAGGTGGGAGGGTGCATTGCTGCAGCCCCTTCAGTGTAGCAGTTGATCCTTTTCTCAGAAACCGTGGAAACCTTGATTAAGGATCTGTGGGGGCCTGGACAAACAGGAATGTGGCAGGTATGGCCTTGCTGTCTGCAATTACATGGTTGTTTCTAGAAAAACCCACATACACACAACTGGAATTCTCTGTTTTGTCAAAGCAAAATTTCTTGAGGGATCTTCTTGCCCTTTGGGCCTTGGAAAGCAAAGAGCTTACCTAGAGAGAGACCTGCCTCTTCCGATGTCCCCCAGCCCAGCCCACCCCATTCCAACAGTGTTGTGGTGGGCAGAATGTAAGTGTAATTATGCCCCCAGGGGTTTGGGAGGGTTGTGTTAATTGCTGAAGAGGAAGATTCTGGTTACATGGTGTTCTTCAAGATGGAAACAGGTGTGGGCACACTGGGCCGAAATGAAAAGCTGAAGGTGGTGAGAAAGCTTCTTGTAGCTAAAAGAGACCACATAGGCAATTGTGTGGCCCAGCCCCTTGGCTGAGTAATGAAATATAAAGGTTTTACAACACTGCCTGGTCCTCCTTTTCTAAGAACAGCAGTAAAAGAATTGAGTGGGGCACAGCTGGGGACATGGTAGCTGACTCACTGGGCATTTTGGAACAGCACAAAGGTTTTCCCACCTCCCCAGCTGGCTCTGGGGCTTGGACCCTCCCCCGCTAGGTCCAGACCGTGGGCTCCAACCCTGCTCTCTTTGAGCTCAGGCCACAAGACACTGAGCTCCATTTAGGACAGCCTCATAGCAGATAGACCAGGGAGGATGAGTGATGTCATGGAGAAGCCCTGCTCAGACAGAACTGAGCCTAATTTCTCTGGGCCCCAGTTTTCTTCATCTATAAATTGGGACCACAACTAGCCTCATAAGGTCTTGTGAAACAAAAGGAAATCATGTATACAGGGCAACTAGTGTTTGAGTGTGAGGTTTCTGTTATCCATCCCGAGCAACCTGGGGGCTTCTTAGGCCTCTGGGGAAGAAGTTATAGTAAATTGTGCCAAACAAAACAGTTTATAGAACTCATGTGGGCCCCAGACCTGGGTTTTGTCACCTTGGGATAAGGGAAGGGTTACAGTGAAACCCCTGGGTGCACTACTGTACTGAGTCAATTCATGTAGATTTACTGTGGAGAGGTGCTGCCCCTCTGTGGTCTGCAGGGATAGAGGCATTGGGTGGTCTTGGGTGCCGGGAGCCCTGTGCTGGAGGCAGACACGAGTGGGACTGGGCAGAGTTTCTAGAAAGAAACTGCACATGTGGATAAAACAGTACTAACATATCAGAATCATGGAGCCCAGGCTTCTGTTTACTTTCGCAGCTTGTGACCAGCTGCTAGGATCCTCCAGCACCTTCCAGCACATGCTCCTGGCAGTCTCGGAAGGGTTTTCTTGGGTCGGGTTTGCTGACCCTCAGGGAGACCACTCCATGAAAACCCCTTTTAGAAGAGCATTAGGAAAGGAGGGAGAGCTTTGTGGGAGAAGCCCTTGGTTTGGGCTGGGGTGGGAGTGGGAAGAGATGTCCCCACCGTAGCCACCCAGTTGGTGTCATGAGACCCCCCCCCCCCCAGCACATTTCCAGGGAAGCAGTGGCTCTAAGGTCCCAGAACCCCCACCCCCACCTGGATGTGTCCTTTCCCCCAGGTGATACTACTTCCTGTGTCATGAATTGTGGTGCGGTTTCATGGCTGATTCTGTGGGGATTTGCAGCCTGTGTGAGGACCTCCAGCATCTGAGTTTGACAGCTGTCTGCCCAGCCCCAATAACTTGGGAAACTGTGCTGTTGCACAGCTCTGTCTTCTCCCCCTGGCTGCTAAGTGGCCCAGTCCCCAGCGTTGCCAGTCTGGATGTGCTGGAGTATGGGAGGGGCCAGGCAGCAGCTTTGTTTGTTGCAAAACCTTACTTCTTCAGAGTTGGTCCTGCACATTTCTTCACTTTAGTCTCCTTGCTGAAGACTGCTCATGACTAGTCCTGCTGCTCTGTTCAGCTCTGCTCTGCACAGGGCATCAAGGCAGTCTCAGGGATGAAGGGAAAACATTCTCTCCAGTCTGTGCCAGGCCCTGTCATTTGGGCCCCAAAGCAGTGCTACTTGTGTGCACTTAGTTTTCCAGAACACCCCTCTCAAACCATCCCAGCTTCTTACCTCCTTCTGCCTTCCCCACACAGGGCTGGAGTTGGGCCATAGCTGGTGTCTTAGTTACTTTTCTCAATGGCAAGACAAAATACTCAACACCCAAAGTTAAAGGAGGAAAGATTTATTTGGCTCACAGTTTGTAGAGGTTTCAGTCCATAGTTGGCTGGCTCCAAGTGAGGGTGGCATGGCAGAGGGGCATCGCAGAGGAGAGACAGTTCATGGTGGGTGGTAGGCAGCAAATTAGTGAAGAAGCGTCAAGTGACAACAACCCTTACATTTACTATCCAGGCTACAGCCCCTTAGGGCAGATAGCACTCATACCCAGAGTGGGCCTTCCCATTATCCACACCCAGAACTGTGCCAAACCAACCAGTGGACTAATTTAGTAATCCCACGGCCTTAATCCTACCAGTCCACCTCTGAGAAGCCTCACCTGTGACTGCATGAAACTTTGAGGGGACATCTAGATATAAGCCACAATAGCTGGGCAGGGAGCAGCCGCGTACTGTGTCCTGCCCTTCTCTCCTTGCCCATCAGAGCTCCCCAAAGCAGCCCAGCCACACCTAGAGCTGAGTGCATCCAGCATGGAGCTGCAGGTGGAGGTTAAAAGGGCGACTTCCTCTCTTGGGCCTTGTGCTAGTCACCTGCTGCCACTCCTGTCCCTACCCTGTCCATCTTCTCTAAGGGCAGAGGACAGCCACAGGAATGCCAAGAGATGCCAGGTCTTTCCTCACTCTTGGGCTCTTCCTTCCTTGCCCTCTTTCTTGCTTTCCTTCTTTTCAAGTTAAATTTAAAATATATAATAACACTACCTACTCCCATTCCTGATTTGAGAACTAATACATTGTTAAAAATTGGCAAAAAAGATATAAAGAAAAAAAATGAAAGTCTCCTATAATCCTACAGCTCAGAGAAAAGCACTTGTTAATAGTTGTTGTTTTTCTTTCTTGTCATTTCAAAACATATGGATGAGTATTTTGAAAATATGATTGGGGTCATATTGTGTGTAGGTTTATATCCTGATCTTTCACTGAGCACTAGATTTTAAGCATTTTCCATGTCATTAAGTATTATTTCACGTCATCCTGTGTATGGCACAGTTTCCTGTTACATACATATACCAAGATTTAGTTTTTCATTATTTTAAATAGTGCTATAGTCCATGATTATTTTCACAAGATTTCTAGGGATGAAATCAATTTGCTGATCCATCTCCCAAGCTCCATGCTGCCTCCATTCTCAGGGAATAAACTTTAAAGTGTCTTTCTGTTTGAAATTTGTATTCCAAATGCCTGTGCCATGGCTTTTGCTGCTTTATACCATAAACCAGTCCTGGTGAACCTAGTGTGTACCTGTTACTGTATTTTCCTTCTTTTCTTTCTTTCTTTTTCTTCTTTTCTCTCTCCCTTTCTTTCTTTCGTTCATTCTTTCATTCTTTCTGACCAAAGATATTAATGTAGAGTTGTTTTTTCTAAACTAAAACCTCAGTATTCAGATTTAATTTCAGTGTTGGCACTTTGTGATAAATAAATGCAGTTTGGCACTCAGTCTCTAAATGATTGGCCATCACTGCCATAAACCATCCCCAGGCAATGAGAAGTCAGGAGCATTAGGGTCCTGTCATCACTCCAACATCATATGGACCATCTTGTGGTCTTGGTGATGCCTTCTCAGTGAGAGCCATTTGTAGGTCCTTTTAGGGGAACAGCACAGCCCAGAAACTTTCTCATGAATGAATAAAACCCTTGAACTCTCATTGCAGTGGGAAGATGCCTGAAGTGGACTATGTGATTCTGTCTGAATGGTTTGACTGGATTGTGAAGAACATCAATGTCTCTGTTGACCTAATAGGTAAGGTGGGCCTCTCTCACCTCCCTGCCTGGACACTCCCTGGGCCCAGCCAGGATGTGCTTAGGAGAGCCCAACCACAGGGATATTAGGCCGAGGGCAATTGCCTTTGGTGATTTCTTCCCCATGTTAATGCAACCTCCTGTCCAAGGGCAGATGGGGTTTGGGGGGTTTCTTGGGCCCTCATAGAAAAGAACTCTGACCTGATTACTTAAGTCGCCATCTCCTGAGTCAGCTACTTTCAGAGCTGGATCCTTGTGATTTGATGGCTTCTCTGGGTTGTGAAGAAGGGGAGGAACAGAAACTGGACGTCACCAAGCCTGTCATATGCCAGGCTCTGTGCTAAACTCTGGCTACGAATGAGATTACACTTGGCCTCACAGTGTCCACACGGGGCTGGTGACTTACAAAAGGAATCAGAGTTGGAGGATGAGATGCAAGGTGCCTGATTGGGCACATAACAGCCAGTGGTCAAGCTCAGAGTGACCCCTGGTCTGGGTCTCTTACTTGGAGATGTGGCTGCTCTTCCTTACACCTGGGCCATGTGCCTTTCCTAGGCTGTTACTCCCAAGCTATGAACAGAATAACAGAGGCATATACTTCTTTAAACCACAGTTTATCTCCGGACCACTCCTGAGACCTGTCACCAGAGATTAAAGATGAGGTGCAGGGAAGAGGAGAAGGTCATTCCACTGGTAAGAAGCCAAAGACAACTGGAAAACTACCTCTACCCAGCCTGGCTTCCCCTCCCCAGGCCCTTCTACCATGACATTATTGTGTGTTTGTCTTCAGAGAAGAATGCGAACAGAATGTGAACTCTGATTTCCCCTATGGCTAGAAGCACTGAGGATGTCCAGAGCTGCTTCACTTTCCGTGCTCCCTGACTCAGGCCTCAGCACCCCTATGCAGAAGCACCTCTTCCATTTATCCCTTTCCCACCTAGGCAAGGCCAGGGGTTGCCTGTCCCACCTCCTGAAAGTTGATTGGTTCTGTGCTCTCTGAATCTTCACTAGATTGAGAGTCTCAGGAGGACAGGACCAAGCCTCTCCCTGATGCAGCTAGTGCTTAGCTTAGTGCCTAGTCTGGCATGGAGGTGGTACTTGGTGCTTGGTAGTGCCTGGCCAGTCTTGGGATACTTTGCTACCCTGGGTTCTAACTTGGGGCCAGATCAATTCCATTTAGGACAGTTGGACCAGGCCTGGACTGTTCTCCTTGGTTGGGTCCGTAGTCTCCACATCTTTCTCTAAAGTCCATCCTCCCAGCTGCTGCATGGGTGCTATTTCTAATATGGGGCCCCACACGACGCTGCCCCCTGCTCCTCTCTGGTATCATCTCCCTCCACTCCTTGCCTTCAGTGTTTTGGCCATAAGGAGCAAGTTTGCCTGAACATGCACACGCACACACACACACACACACACACACACACACACGTGAAATACTATAGCTTTGCATTTGCGCAGCTGTTCCTCTGTCTTTAAAGTTTAGCTCAGATGTTCACATTCTCCAGGAACCCTTCTATGCTCATCCCTCCACTGGACTCCCTTGCCCCCAGGCTCACTGTGATTATAGCCCTTTGGGCAACAAACCTGACAGTATTTCTTTTGCCTTTGCTTCCCAACCCTCATTGTGAGGCTTTTGATCTTATTCCCTCTTGCCCTCTGCATGTGTTCTGGGCCTAGCACTGAGTGGTTGCCCTGGGTAGCCCAAATGACATTTGTCCCATTTCCCAGGGCACTTGGTGGGAGGGCTTTGGCCCCTACCCCACTCCCAAGTTCCCAGCAGCCTGTGCCTTTGTGTTTCTCTGGCAGGAATACCTGGAGGCCATTCACCGCCTCTATGAGCAATGGCTGGTCACAGGAAGCCTCTTCCCTGTGACGGCCCCTGTTCTGGTAAGTCAGACCCCTCACAAGCGGGAGACTTCTACAGGGAGGAGTGACCCAGGGCATGTCAGTCTCTCTGCAGATGGGGGCAGGGGTCAAATCCTCAGAGCCAGAAGGAGGAAGGTGGGAAGGCCGGAAAGGGCTCTTTCTTTGTCACTCCTCGTTCCTGGACTGTCTTAGAGTGAGTCGGACATACTTGAGAGGGCCATCTGTCCCAGTGCCATTACAGCTGGTGTCTTACCCAGTACTGGCCAAAAGCCCCAGGTGCCTGAAGCCTCTGGATCTGGGTTGGAGTCTGGCTCTTTTGGGGTGGTAGTGCTTCTGATGTGACCTTCCTTCTTCAGTGGATGACACAGAGCCTCAGTTCACCTTGGCTCAGTGACTCAGGGTCATCAGAAGGAACATGAGCTGCTGTTCTGGGCTGTGACACGGGGATGCCCTTGGGAGGTGCCGAGGTGTGTAGGACTGTGTGTCCCAGTGACTGCTGTCCTTGAGTTCCTGTGCTGCTTGTCATAGTAACCTGTTTCTCTTATGATGCATGACATTTCTAACTGGTACTGATATGTCTGCCCTGTCAGTGTTTCTCAGTGCCTGTTCTCTTGGGTTCAGATTTGGTGGCCCAGATTTCTCCAGGTAGGCAGGTGGTACCTAGGGCTGCTACCCGTATTGTGGGTCACAAGCTTCCATGCATGACTGTGGGCTGCGTACTCTTACAGGTAGTAAGGCTGTAGGCAAGGGAGATATTACTATAGAGGGCTTTAAAGAAGTTTATTTTTTTCCTCATTGTAAAAGTAGATACTATAAAATGATGAGGAAAAAAATCACTCTTCAGAATAACTCTTGTAGACTCTTTTTTTTATTTTTTTGGTACTGCAGATCAAACTCGGGTCCTTGCGCTTGCGAGGCAGGCGGTGGAACCACTGAGCTAAATCCCCAGCCCCTCTTGTGGACTCTTAAGTGAAAAATCTAGTTGGGAGTGTAGACCACCCTAGAGCTGGGTGCTGTTTGGCTCTGACCTCCCTGTGCCCTTGGTCTTCTTTCCCTTTCCCTGTCTAACCTGCCTGCCTCCATTTCTGTTTGCTTTTGTGAAGGAAGGGAGATATAGAGGTCAGTGCAACTGAGGTTGTGACCTTTGTGTTTCATTTCCAGGTGATTGAGGCTGACCACAACATGGAGAAGATGTTACAAGTATTTGAACAAAACCGCACCCGAATATTAACACCAGAGAATTGGAAGCATGGCCCATAGGATGGGAGAGGTCTGTGGGATCATGCCAGGAACATGCCCATAGCTGCCAAGTTAGCTATTAGGAGCAATTTAGAAAAATCTGCTGTTACAAGACCTTTTATCTGGCCAGATCTAGTTTCCTGATAGTCCTTACTCCTTAGCCAGTGCCTTGATCATGGGTCTGTGGCCCTTGTGGGTAGATGACAAATGGGACCAATGTGCTTGTCGCCCTTTGTTGTGTGTAGCCTGGCAGTCCCCTGGTGGCTTCCCACTGCTGGATCCCTCTTCTGAAGCCATTAGGAACAGCTCCTGCCCTGACATTGTGCTGGGTTCTATACATTCCAGTCACTCAGGAGAGTGAGGTAGCAGCCTCACATCTCAGGTGAGGAATATGAAGTTCAGAGAGATTAAAGACTCCTCAGGGTCACAGCCAGTGAGCCATGAAGCTGATACCGTTCATACTTTTGGCCAGGCTACTTTGTCTTGAGAGATGTTCCCTACAGCCTGCCCTTCCCTGCCATGGCTTACATCTTTGTGGGGATAGCTGGCAGTGCATCTTCTCATCATTGAGCAGTTCTCAAGGACAATCAGAATTTCTAGACTTTGATAAATTGTGCTGTTTGGCTCAAGCCCAATGTTAAATGGTTTTGCAGCATGGAGAGCTGTAGCCTCTGTCTTTATCATCTGGACTTCAGTGATCACAGGAGAATCACACATTGACTCCTGAATTGTATCCAGACTCTGTGAGATGAAGGTCTTGGTTGAATTGCTGCCAGTTCCACATCAAGGAAATAACGTTTGGGGCCTGGCCAGTTTGCCTAGTGCTGGGTTGGGCCAGGAGTGGCCAAAGGAGCCAGCCCTGGTTTCTTATCTTTAGTCTAGTTGATCTATCTATTTGTGACAGTGGGGTGTTGAGGTCCCCCACTAAAATTGTATTAGTGCATATGTGACTTTTCATGTCCGTTAGTATTTGTTTTATATAGTTGGGCACACTAGTGTTTGGTGCATTGATATTTATGATTGTCATCCTCTTCCTCTTGGATTCTTCCCTTTACAAGGATGTAGTGTCCTTCTTCGTCTCTCTTAATCAGTGTTGGTTTGAAATCTACTTGATCTGCCAAG